CATTAAACTCTCAATTTCTTCAATTTGACCCCTGATTTCACTTAATTAACTTGGTAAAAATTAAATTTGGTTTCTTAAAATTCCAATCTTCTCAATTAAACCCAAGTTAGACTCCCAAACTTAAGTTTTCACCAATTAAGCCCCAAATAAAATTAATTTGACCCATTTAAAGTATAATTAAGTCCTTGCACTTAATTAAATCCTTCATTTGGACCTAAATTAATTCTTAAGCATAATTAAATTTTAATTTGGCCCATGATTAAATCAAATTGGCCTATTAAAAATTTAATTATGTTATTGGACTTAATTTTTATGCAAATTTGTCCAATAATCATTTAATTTGACCTTTGAATTTGTATTTTTCTATTTTTGGGCATAATAGGGTACAATTAGGCCTTGAAATTCCTCCCAAAATTGCAGCTTTATTTTTACCTAGTCTTTCTAGATCAGTTTTCCCCACATTTCTAGCCTTTATTTTATTTTTTGATTTTTATTTTTTAAAAAAGTGGATTTTAGGGAATAACCCAGAATTGAGTTATGACACTGGGAAACTGCAAAGATCTAATAAACATCGAATGTCTTGGTGACTTGCAATTGCCCAAGAGAGGCGTGGATTTAGATTGTTTGCGTAAGCTAAATCTAGATGGTTGCAGTCTATCGGAAGTGCCGGATAGTCTTGGTCGTTTATCGTCACTGGAATTGTTAGATCTAAGTGGAAACGATTTTTGGAGTATACCTATAAGCATCAATAAACTCTTTGAGTTGCAATATCTAGGATTAAGGAATTGCAGGAACCTTCAATCATTACTGGAGCTTCCACCACGGCTATCAAAGTTGGATGTAGACAATTGCATGAGTTTCAGAACAATATCAAGCTCATCACCTGTAGCTGAGGGGAACATTTTGGAATTAATTTTCATTAATTGCTTCAGCTTGCCTGTGATCAATAATATCTTGGCGTAATTATTATTTAAATTTCAACTTAAAACCGAAAGGTTTGTTAGAATCTATTAATGAGAATCTGCCTTAAAGATAGAGTTAAGTGTAGTCAATTATTTGATTTCAATATAATTGTTTTCATATCAAATTCTGCCACAGGATTTGCTGCAGAATCTGTTATTAGAAGACCAATAATCTCTCAAGGTTTTTGAGAGTTTTTTTATTCATTTCAAGTTCTTTGTAAGCCTTTAAATAGGCATTCTAAATTAATTAAAAGTATTGATCTTTCTAGTCAACTATGCTCTTTAGTATCTGTTTTTCTATACTCAAAACAGTGTTTCCGAAACTGAAGATTTCTTTTAGTGGAACTTAAGATCTCTGATAGTGGTATCAGAGCTTCTAAATCCTATGGGCTATGAGGCAAGCATTTTCTTTCTTTTAAGTGATAAAAACAGAAAGGGTAAGGTAAGTATTCTGAGTGCTAAACACTAAGAGGGCGAGCATAAATACTAGTGAGTTATTTTCCTTCTGTTTTTTTTTTTATCAATGTCTTCTTTCAGCAATATTGCATATGCAATTCTAATGTTTAGTGGTGAATTCTATCATATTTGAGCTATTAAAATAAGATTTTATCTAAGATCTCAAGGCTTATGGAATGTTGTGGTGATTGATTCTCATCTACCACAATTGAATGCAAATCCTATAATTGCTCAAATGAAAGCACATGAAGAAGAAAAACTCAAGAAGGACAAAGACATTACCTGCCTACATTCTGGACTTGCATATCATATTTTCATGAAGATAATGAATCTAGAAACACCAAAACAGGCATGGGATAAGCTCCAAATTGAATTTGAAGGGAGCAGCAAAGTCAAAATAGTGAAGTTTCTTGCATTTAAAAAGGTATTTGAGTTGATGAAGATGAAAGACAATGAATTTATTAAATATTATTCTGGTAGATTAATGGATATTGTAAATCAAATGAGACTTTTTGGAAATACATTTGAAGATCATAAGGTAATAGAAAAACTTATGATGTCTGTACCACAAAAGTTTGAAGCCAAGATCTCTACAATAGAAGAATCTTGTGATTTGCAAAATCTCACTATTGTAGAGTTAATTAGCAAACTTCATGTACAGGAGCAAAGGGTTGAAATGAGAGATGATGAGGCTATTGAAGGAGCTTTTCAAGCAAACAATAAGGGAAAGACATGTATATCTTCAAAAAGACAGATTTTCTCACCTTGCTCTTATTGCAAAAGAACTAACCATATTGAGAAAGATTGCTAGTTCAAAGGTAAACTTTCTCTCCAGTGTATGTTTTGTAATAATCTTGGCCATAATGAGAAATATTATAGAATTAAGAAGAAACAATCTCAGCAAAAAATACAACAACAAACAAGTGTTTCTGAAGAAGGCAAAGACAATAAGGAGCATCTGTTTATGGCATCACAAGCTAGTAATATCTTTGAACTGAATACATGGCTTATAAACAGTGGTTGCACTAGTCATATGTCTAAGTTTTTGTCAATTTTTTTTCTATTGATATATTAGTTCAACCAAAGATCAAGTTGGGAAATGGAGATATTGTGCAGGCTAAGGGAAAAGGCATTGTTGCGGTCAACATAAATAGAGGTATTAAAACCATTACAAATGTTCTTTACGTTCCAGAACTAGATCAAAATTTTCTTAGTGTTGTACAGATGCTAAGAAATGGTTATGAAGTCTCTTTTAAAGAGAGATTTTGCCTTATCACTGATACACATAATTCAGAGATATCAAAAATCAAAATGGATGGCAATAACTTCCATTTGAAGCTCGATGCTGTTGATATAGTCAAGAACTTCAAGCTTGAATCATGCAAAGAAATAGCAACTCCATTAACACAAAATGAGAAGATTTCAAAGAATGATGCTGATTTGCTATCAAGGTTCATGAGCTCACCTAGTAATATTCACATGGGAGTTGTTAAAGTGCATTAGAGGAACAACTAACCTTGGCATCTGGTACTCAAAGACAGGAGAAGCAAAATTAATTGGATATGTAGACAATGACTAAGTAGGGAGTGTTGATGATCTGAAAAGCACTTCTAGATATATTTTCAACATTAGTTCAGGTGCAATATGTTAGAATGCAAAAAAGCAAGTGATGGTGACACAATCAACTATAAAAGCAGAGTATATCTTTATGGCAGCTACTACAAATCAAGCGATTTGGTTAAACAAGTTGGTTGCTAATTTGGGTTAAGAACAAATCTCACCAACTAAGCTTTATTGTGACAACAAGTTTGCCATTATCATTGCCCAAAATCTGGTTCAATATGGTAGAATTAAGCACATCAATATAAAATTTTAGTCCATAAGTGAAGTTGAGAAGTATCTACTTATAAAGCTTTATTACTGTGCAATTGATGTTCAACTTGTTGATATAATAACTAAAGTATTTTCTAGATCAAGGCTGAAATTTCTAAAGATGAAACTTGGTTTGTCCAAGTCTCAAGGAGTGTTAGAATCTATCTATGAGAATCTACCTTAAAGATAGAAGATAGAGTTAAATGCAGTCAATTATTTGAATTTCAATGTAATTGTTTTCATACCAGATTCTGCTGCAAGATTTGCTGCAGAATTTGTTATTAGAAGACCAATAATCTCTCAAGGTTTTTGAGAGTTTTTTTATTCATTTAAATTCTTTGTAAGCCTTTAAATAAGCATTCTAAATTAATTAAAAGTATTGATTTTTCTACTCAATTCTGCTTTTTAGTATTTGTTTTTCTATACTCAAAACAGTGTTTCTGGGACTTAAGATTTCTATAAGTGGAACTTAAGATCTCTAACAAGGTTATTCCATCAGGTCTGTTTCTCAAACCTCTAATATACATCTTTTTTTTTTTCTATTTGCCACCTTTCATTTTAAAACAATGCTATTTGAATTGTGTTAACAGCTGCCCGACGTTCCAGAAGGGACATGTAGTTTCTGCCTCCTTGGAGTTGTGACTCCGAAGTGGTTTAGGCATCAAGTTGGGGATCTACAGTAACATTCCAGCTATCTTCATATCGGGCTAGTAGCGAGTTCTTGGGTTTTTCTCTTTGCGCTGTCATTGCATTTGATTCTTTCAGCCATTGTTTGCAAGTTAAATGCACATATCACTTCCGCAATAAGGATGGTGATAGCCATGATCTCTATTGCTATATCCATGGTTGGTATGATGAGAGGCGCATCCACTCAGAACACATATTCATGGGATTTGATCCTTGTTTGGTTGCCAAAGAGAAGGATATGTTTAGTGAATATAGTGAGGTCTCATTTGAATTCCAACCGGAAGATATGAACGACAATCTCTTACCATTAGATCTTTGTCAAGTACATGAGTGTGGGGTTCATCTACTGTATAAAAATGGGATACATCGCTTTGATTTGATCATGCCAGGCTACTCTCGTTTTCATCCTCTGGATCGAGATGGATTGGAAACAAGGTTCCAAGCCAATAGATGGGAGGATTATTATGTCATGCGTAGGACGTACGAATTATTGGATTTTCAACTTTATTCCAAAAGGTTCGGATTACTCTGTCATGTACTGGTCTGTTTCTCAAACCTCTAACATACTTTTTTGTTTCCTCCTGTATTTGCAATGTCTTATTTTAAAACGATGCTATTTGAATTGTGTTAACAGAAGGAGCCTGATGTTCGAGCAAGGGCATATAGTTTCTACCTTCATGGAGATGTGACTCCGGAGTGGTTTAGGCATCAAAGTTGGGGATCTACAGTAACATTCCAGCTATCTTCATATCGGGCTAGTAGCGAGTTCTTGGGTTTTTCTCTTTGCGCTGTCATTGCATTTGATTCTTTCAGCCATTGTTTGCAAGTTAAATGCACATATCACTTCCGCAATAAGCACGGTGATTGCCATGATCTCTATTATTATCCCCACTAATTGACTTAGATCACATATTTGTGGGATTTGATCCCTGTTTAGTTGCCAAAGAAAAGGATATGTTTAGTGAATATAGTGAGGTCTCAATTGAATTCCAACCGGAAGATATGAATGGTAATCTCTTACCATTAGATCTTTATCAAGTGGTTGAGTGTGGGGTTCGTCTCCAAGCCAAGAGAGCAATGGTGGTAGACGTGAGATGGGAGAATGGTTTTGACAATGGTACTCTCCAGAGAAAAAAGAGAAGGCAGGTTTCACGGTATAAATAATTTAAGAATTATTTTGACAAGGATACAGGGGCGAATTGCTGTCGAGTAGTCCAAGAAAATTTTAAGATGAGAATTGGGTTATTCTTTTATTTATTTTTATCAGTGATGGTGTTCATTACCAATCTAAGATTAATGTATTCTTCTTTCCCTTTTGCATAATTTGACAAAATTCAAACTTTGATGGATGAAATGAAGAGCAAATCTGCTTAACTTTAGACTCAAGTCTAGAAGAGTGCAAGCACATATCTTTTAAACAAAACTTTAATATATTATTGTTAAAATTTAGTCTTCCTAGTTTAGCAAAGCTAATTATTTTTTACTAGAATTGAAACGGGTTAATTAAGTCATTTGCTAATGAAATATACCTTCTTTTCCCATATTTGTTTTTGCATCCTATGTACTTAAATTTTTATTTTTATTTTTAAAAAATTAAAAAATAAATTAAAAAAGATATGAAATTAATAAAATAAGATTATGTTATAGAATGAAATTAATAAAATAAGATTATGTTATTTATAGATTTAAAATTATAGAGATTAAATAATTATATTTTAATATGAAAACAAGCTTTTATTTTCTTGCAAGCAATTTTTTTGTTTTTTATTTTAATATTGTACTGTTCAATGTTAGCATAGAATGGAAGTCCCGTCATTTCGTAGAACAATTGAAGTGTATTGAAGTATTGTAATTAAGAATTGAAATTATGATATACTATAAAAAAGTAAAATACCTGTTTTTTTTAAGATATTATCTTAAAAGGTAAATAGCTTAATATATCATTATATCATTATACCAATATGTCTACGTTTTCAAATATGTTTATTGTGTATTTCCTTGATTTTTTTTAATATATCATTTTAACAAGGTTTACCAATCAATTTGATAAAATTTCATTTCATATTGAAAACGCTCTTACACTGCACTGGAGCATGATTTTATATCTCTTCAAAATAATGAATTTTGTATTTTTAAAATCTTTTATTCTTAAGTAATTTTTTGAAATTTTAATTTTTAAAAAACATATAATCAATTTTAAGCAAATATTTCTGATAAAATG